CATGTATATTTTGGGTATACTTCTTTCGTTGGTATACTTTTAGGGTCTACACATATTTTAAGCTTTTTGCGTGGTGTTGTAATGCGGACAATGAAACCCCTAGGTTTTGATTTTTCTGTTTTGTTACTAGTCGGGGTTTCACTATCCCTCCTCATCTCTGCACCTTTTTTTAACTTTTAACGTGTAAGGAGCCACGAGCTGCTCTTTTCATAATATATAGGGTTCAAAAATAATTCCAGCATGAGAATTTCAAAAATTTTCAATCTTACCATTGAATTTGCAATGTGTCTTTTAGCTAACAAAAGACGATTATTTTTAAGCCCAATAATGAAGTTATGTAAATGCGAAATTATAATAATTTCTATGAATGTTTCAAAATTCAAATAATTTCAAGGCATACAAATTTCAATAATATTTTCTAAGTTAAATGCAACTCTTGGAGATTTGTGAGAATATTTTAAAACTTGTATGAGTAGAAATTTTTTATTTTCAAGTTGTGCATGTTTCAGGACATTTACATAAATAAGCCACCCATGCTTGATTTCAGATTTGTGCATCTACCTATTTGAAACAAACTATCTATCAATTTCATATTTTAGAGATTATCCAATTCATTTAAATCCTACAAGTTTCTCAAAACTATACAAACATATAAAATCCTACCCATAGGTGCTCCACCAAAATAAACTAAATATTTAAAATTGAATGGTTTGAGAATGTTTCGTGGGTCGAAGTAAACTTGTACTCAGTAGTTTTTGTTCTAATATTCGTGCAAAATTATTTTAAGAAAAACTTTGATTTTTCTATAGTTAAAACTCCTATTTTGAAATTGAATTCAAGACAAGTTATGCAAGTTTTCAATTGGAGTTACCTATATAGAGAACAAAGTTGTAAGTCATACCCAACTAGTTTGATCCTCATCCTCGTAAGGATTGGACTTAACGACTCTAATAATTTCAAACTATATGTCCAAATTTTGAAATAAGAATTTATAAGCTCAAATCACCCAGTTTGATCATACTTCTTATAAGGATATGAGTTGACGGAACTTACATATTAAAAAAAAAAAGCCTAAACTAATAAAATCAAATGCTCTTTAAATATAAAAGTTTTAAATGTTTAAATCCCTGATGAAGGCAATATTGATTGTGACGTATTGATTGTGAATTTCAATCAGTGGTGTCAATTTTTAAAATCAACAACAATAACAACAACAACAATGCCTTAATCCCACTACGTGGGGTCGGCTACATGAATCATTTTTCTCTATTGCGTCCTATTCAGTGTCATATTTTCATTTAGTTCTAATAAATGAAGATCATTTTTTGTATAATAAGCGTAAGTCTTCCTAGGTCTACCTCTATCTCTCTTTACATAAGTCGAATCTAAAACATCTACTCTCCTAATCTGATCATCAGATGGTCAATGATTAATGTGGTCAAACCATCTAGGACGACTCTCTCTAATTTCGCCTGTCACTGGAGCTACACCACCTCTATCACGTATATATTCGTAAAGCCACTCATCCACCTAATCATTCTCATCTCGACAATTCCTAACTTAGTATTATGCTTCTCTTTTAAAGGCCAACATTCAACGCCATATAGGTTTGTAGGTCTCACCACTATCTTATAAAATTTTCTTTTCAGTCTAAGCGGCACGTTTCTATCACGCAAATAGCCCATAGCCCGAAGCATTCTTCCACTTCAACAAACCAACTTGAATTCTACTATTAACATCCCTATCTATATCACCATCACTTTGAACAACAGACCTGAGATATCTAAATTGTTCGCATCTTTTAATAATTTGATCACCCAAAGTTACACTTCTATCACTAGAGTTACTGCTACTAAAATTACATTTCATGTATTCAATTTTAGTTCTACTCAAATGAAGCCCTTTAGACTCCAATGTAGACCTCCATAATTCAAGTTTTCCTGGGCTTTTTCTCTAGTCTTATCCACGAGAAGGATATCATCGACAAAAAACATACACCAAGGTACATCCTCTTGTAAATGTCCAGTCAGACCATCCATAACTAAAGCAAAAAGATATGGGCTTAAAGTCGATTCCTGATGTAATCCAACAGAAATAAGAAAATATTTGTTCAATCCTCCTTCAGTTTGAACACTAGTAACAGCTCTAGTATACATCTTTTTATTGACCGAAATAACCAAAATATTCAAGTATGATTAATCACAATTTCACATCCACCTTCCACAACAGTATGTTAAGTGATAAATTTTTGGTTGATTTTAGCACTTAAAGAGTGAATGTTATATCAAATATATCTTTATATCACAAATAAAGAAATTATATGCCAATATGGACGTGACCTAAGTCTTTTGTTTGCGTGGTTATATCGTCAAAAGGCACCACAAAGTAGCATTTTTGATTAATCCTTTAACCGGGTGTTGCCGTCAAATGACACTATTAAATTTCTGTCTTGGCCGCAACTCATGTGTTCCCCAACAACTTTCTATTCTTTGAGTTGGGAACCATAGTGTAACAATTGATTGACATAAAGTCTTTTGTCCGCTATTGTCGACTTAAGTTTGTTCCCTCAGATAAATATCCACCACAGACCTACAAGGATCCCTTGGATGACACAACTCATGGTTGTTGATAAAGATCTTTGAGTCAAGTTAGGTCGACTACTTTCTCTGACTAAGTAGATCGGAGATCAATTGCTACTTTAGGGAACCATAACGAACTGAAGCGGGAACAACTCTATGATTTGTTAAACTGTTTGAACGGAGCGTTCTGGTTGAGCGGAAAAAACAAACAGAAAGGAGTGTTCTGTTCGAGTGAAAGAGCTGGACGACGAGCACTGTAATCCCGTTTGTGAGGTGATGAAGCAACGAGCTCTAGCAGAAGATTCATACAATGAGTTGGAGATGGAGTTACCTCGACATGAGGAAGGGTGGGACGATGAGTCCAAGATGAAGTACTGCCCTCAAGCTTACGCGAGGAGGCGAAGCAGTTGCTCATATGTATGAGAGGAGACTGCTCATGTGTATGAGTGGAAACGTCTTGTGCATATGTTATCGTTGAAAGACAACATTAGATATTCTTATGCGTCTGTCATCGTTAACGATGATAAGGAAGCTTGGTTCGTAGCTTCGCTGAAGACACGGAGGATACCTCAACACTTTTGACCTCCAGCTACTTAACAGCCGGACGACGAGTCAGAGACAAACTAGTGACCTAAAGCTTATGAGAGATGAAGCAATTACTCGTGCGTACGAGAGGAGATAGATCATGTATACATGAGTGTTGAAAGACAACGACGGAGATATCTATGGGTTTGTCGTCATCAACAGTGACGAGGAAGCTTGGTTCGGAGCTTTTGTTGGATGGAGCCGTTGCTGTAGACACCAAGGACACTTCGACACATTGTTCCTCAACTATTTTAAAGGAGGTATAGACGACGCAAATTGAAGAATAGGGCTATGGCCTCGAACTCTAACGAAATAGGTTTCTTAGATCTCTGATACCATTTAGAATTGTGGAAAGAATTTATTTCTCGTTCACCCTAATGTATTATACTTTACTATAATAATAATAATCACCATCATCATCATCATCATCATCATCGTCATAATAGATGACAATGGTGGTGGTGGTTGTGATGATGATGATGAATCCGATCGAAATGTTTGATAAAAAGTTTGGTATTTTGGATTACTCTATGTTTAAATTTAAACCAAATTTAGATTTTAAATCACTTTTCTAAAATCCTACAAATAGGAGAGGATTATGGAACCAAGTATAAGCATTGGAGCAAATTGCGCAATATTTGAATTTCTACTAGTTTCTATTAGATGCAAGCGGCTTCGAAGGAAATTAGAGAGTGGAGGAGAGAGGTTTAAATCAAAGAAAAAGAGAAGAAGAGACGAATAAAATATCTTATTTATGATTGCAACTATCTTGACATAATGGAAATATGATTGTGCTAGAAATAGAATAAATCAACATGTATGAATATATCCTCTTGAGGTGCTTTTAAATGGGCATCTTTTTTGGTGTATGGCAAATCCTTTTTGATTATTGTTTTTTTGTTGTTCTCTTTATTTTGGCTTGAAAAATTTGAGGCTTTTTTTTGTTTGTAGTAAGATTAGGTTTATCGTGTGTTCGTGTCCCTTTATTTATAAATTTATCTGATTTCTTTATAATCGATTCGATCCCGCATTTCCCATGGATTTAGGCTTGTTTTTTCCGATTCATGTAAAACTTGGGATCAAATTGTGATGCTTTATCTTTGTTATTAGTTCTTGTTGTCTTATTCGGTCCTATTAAGCGCTTCTGCACCAAAGGAAAAAAAAAAAAAGAAAAACAATCTTTTTCTGTGAAATCACAGTAGAGCCATTGCACTTAGAAGATGTTTACGGTTCTGATATCCTTGTCAAAGGTAATGCATAGGATAGGTTTTCCATTCCCAAATTTATGGTAAAGGATGCGAAGTGAAAAAAGAAGAATATACGTACAGGAAAAGTGTATTCAACGTGAAATCTTTGCATCTAATTAATTGTCTGAGGCTTTTTGACTATTGCTGCTGCAGGCACAAAATCATTGTTGAAGATGAACCATGGACTTTGCACCACATTACATGATAAGATACTAGTAACATGCTACATGAAAATTATCTCGCATCTCTTGATAACATATTCATCATGAGTTAAGGGGGAGAATGCCTATATATGCTCATCACACCAATAATTGTGCCTAATCTGAAAAAAAAAATTTTTTTTCTCACGTAGCATCTCGCAGTACTTTTTGTAAATTCTCATGTTTCATGATACAATAGCTTCATCTCGTCCAATATGCTGATGCAAGATCCGGGACAATTTTCATAATTTTTAAAATTAGAAAATGGTGTATCTGTAGGCCATGCTTTAAAATTGTTCAAGTTTTAGAAAAGAGTTTTAATGTAGAAGTGTCTGGAATTTAGCTTTTTATTCTAGACAACATAAAAAGCACTTTTCTCCTTTGAATAGGATCTATTGGAGGACCCTGCTATTGTCCGTGCCATAGATGAAGAGACAGAATTCAATGCTTTAGTGGTATGCAGACTTTATTCTCATTACTGTTGCATTTGTAGTTGTTAAACACGGCACTTTTAACAGAGCTTTCCAAATTATCTTCTATACCTAGGGCTTTTTATGTTGAGAAAATTGAAGATTTTGCTGCTCTGTAGTGAATTTTTTGGTAAGGGGAGAAGTGGCCATCTTTCACATGTTTTACATCCGGTTCACCTCTCATAAATTATGTTGTCAGTGTTATTAGTTTGAGTTCATTGTTATGGGTCTTATGGGCTTAATTTCCATTTTCCTCGATTTAAAATTTATATATTGACTAGCCAAAATTCATTTGGAATGAACAACGGTTAGGATATTTAAATTGATATATGTGGGCAAATCTGAAGCTTTTATTCATATTGAACAATCAATTTCTTAAGATTGATGGATTTGAGAAATTTGTCATGTTTCAATTGGCCTTGTTGATATAAAGGTGAAGGGTTGAGCACAGGTTGTTTCCTATGAATATGGAGCTTTGAGTTGTCTAGTGGCTCCCACCTTTTTGTGCTGTTTCATAGTGTAGACAAAGATGAGGGGTCAGTTCACTATTTTAAGAAGGGATCCTCTGCAACGATTTGAAGCGACAAGACGAAGGAGATGATTCAGTTAATTCTTTTATGGGAAATCGATGAAACGCGTGTGAAAGAGGAGATGAGGTCGACAGAGGGGTTAAGTGAGCGTGAGAAGCACGGACGATGACATAGATTGGGAGTTGTCCTTGCCAGCTCGTCTGATGAAGCAAGAGAATTGGTAAGAATGATGATGATGATGATGTTGTTTAATAAAGAGACAATCTTTGTCAATCATATAGGAAAGTTGTGACAAAATTTAAATAATAATAATAATAATATTACTAATAATAGATAAAGGGTTGTAATTTGCATCAGTCATAAGAATGTTGTGTCAATTTCAAATATTCGAAAAATATTTTGGAAGATTTACATGCATACCACTCAATTCTTATGTATTTACATATCGAACTCTTAAATTTTTACATATATGTCACCTTACCTATGCATGAAAATGTGTATTTTACTTTTTAAAAGCTAAAATAGTGGTATCTTTATTTGGATATGAAAGATTTTGGTGCTATAAATGTAAAGAGTAAAGTTTAGGTGTTAGATATGTAAATACTTAATAATTGGGTGGTATGTATGTTGATGCCCCAAATATCTAATTTTAAAAGTGGATGTTTTAGATTATTAAATAAAATTTTAATTAAAAAATATATATGTTTGGGCATACACTAGACAAATGTTTCAAGCGCCACACCAATTTGAGACCTAACCGTCCAGTGCACCTTGATTTAGCCACTGATTTGGCTAACCAAACTACCCAAGAACCGTCCATTCCAACTACAGTTATGGTGGAAGATGCAACTAGGGATGATACAACTACTGTTCCAATTGAACTTGATGGGAACTCTTCTCTAATCAAGCCTACTAAGATTTTTTATCTTTCACTTAGTATCACTGCTACCAATAATTTTGTTGTAGTAGATGATATTGATATTCCAATAGATATGGAACCACTTCTTGTAGAAGAAGAGGGTGCTCAAGTACTGGAGGCGTGCCAAGATCAAAGTGTGCAACAGGAAACTGCTCAGCAATTTACAGATCAACATACCTACCAGGGTGAGTTCTCCATTGATGATTAACTTATTGATCAGACGGGACATGCACTGGAAGATGAATTGAAGATTTATAATGCCAAGAAGAAGAAAAAGGGATGTTAGAACTCAGGAATTTACCGGATGACAGTTTGATAGTTTTGAGTGGAAGCCCATGTAACGGTTTGTTGTTGGACTTCCTCTTTAGAATCAGGGGGAGATGAAAACCTACCCACCATGATTAACCTTCTCTTCACAAATGAATCCATTCATATATATTTCTTTACCTGTATTTTTTTTTTTAAAGATTAATCTCGTAGGTGGTTTTTTTTTTTTAGGTTCTGTTAGAATCACTTGTCCACTTGTACGTATATAAATTTTTTATTAAAGATATTGATTACTATATAAATATATTACTAAATTTTTTTTTTTTTGCTAGAAAGAGCTTTGGCTCCTTATGCATTTAATTGGAAAAAGAATTATGAAAAAAGGAAAAGTACTTAACTAAAACCCACATACAACTCACACAAAAACAAAGAAAATCTAAAGGTTCTCTTCCCAAAAAAAATGCAAAATATAACACACAACCAAAAAAACATAAAACAAAAAACAAAATTAAATAATATCATTTAAGGTTAATCTCAAAAG